TCAATATCAATCTGTAACCTCAAGTCCAGGACAAGAAGAACAGTGCCTGCCTGCCTTCAGCTCCTGGGTCACATGGTCTCATACATATATGTAACTTCACAGGGCAGACTTCACTTTTGCTGTCTGCAGACCTGACACGATTTGGTGTATCACCAAGAAATCCTCTGGACATGTGTATTTGCGTACCTGGATTGGTAGCTGGATCCACAAAATGTATGTAGAGGAGTTGCATTTCTGTCCTGAGAACCAACTGTTACTCTGGTAACAGATGGGCCCCCCAGCCATTGGTAGATGCATCCCAGTCAATTTCAGGTGCAAGCTTCTTGGTCACCTCAGGAGGTTTCCTTCCACATAAACATGTTGGAGCTCTGAGCTATTCATCAGGCCTGTGAGATACTTATACCCACCGTTGAGAACCAATGGTACAAATTCTCACAGACAACACCACTGACATGTTTGTTTTTTGAACAAGCAGAGAGGAGCAAGAATCTCCCAACTATGCAAGGAGGCTGTCCTCGTCTGGAATTTGTGAATCCTTCACAATGTTTCCCTGAAGGCCTTTCACCTTCTGGGAGTAAGAAACATGCTAGCAGATTTCCTCAGCAGGGTTTTCATAGACCAACATGAGTGGTCAATCAAGAAAGACATCCTTCTTCAGATTTTCCACTGCTGGGTATATCTAGTAATAGACTTGCTAGTGACCAACCTCAACAGCAAATGCATGAGGTTTTGCTCCAGGGTGGGCCTCAGCCCAAGTTCCATCATAGATAGTTTTCTTCTCTGGTCTGGACACCCGCATCTGCATTTCTTTCAGTTCCTCTCATTCCAAGATTACTGAGGAAACTGAAACAAGAAAGGGTGTTGTTAATCCTTATTGAAACAGCATGGCCAAGCCAATATTGGTTCATGGATCTACATCGACTGTCTATCCCCTCACCGATAACTACTACTACTGGTCACAGAACTTCTAACTCAGCACCAGGGCAAATCTCTACATCCAAACCTCAAATCTTTCCACCTTACTGCATGAACACTCAGAAGAAATTGCTGCTGGGAGGTTCAAATCATCTTGGTGAGCATCAGAAAGGAATCCACTAGAGCCAGGTATGCAGCTAAGTGGAAGAGATTTTCCATTTGGGTACAATCCCACAGTTTATTGCCCCATCTCACAGAGGTTACACATGTGCTGGACTATGTTCTGCACCTGAAATTCATAGATTCAAAAATTCTAGGACTGGAAGGGACCTAGAGAGGTCATCGAGTCCAGTCCCCTGCCCACATGACAGGACCAAATACTGTCTAGACCATCCTTGATAGACATTTATCTAATCTACTCTTAAATATCTCCAGAGATGGAGATTCCACAACCTCCCTAGGCAATTTATTCCAGTGTTTAACCACCCTGACAGTTAAGAACTTTTTCCTAATGTCCAACCTAGACCTCCCTTGCTGCAGTTTAAGCCCATTGCTTCTTGTTCTATCCTTAAAGGCTAAGGTGAACAAGTTTTCTCCCTCCTCCTTATGACACCTTTTA